ATGGAGGTGGGTGGAGGAGTGGAGGCCAGCTGTCAATGGTGGGTAGAGCACGCACCAAAGTGGGCGGAGTTTGCCAAAAGTGTCGTAATTTGGTTCCAAGAGGTCCCAGAGACCGGTGAAAAAGGGGGTAGAGGTCGGCGAAAAGAAGGGAGCCAAATGCTATTGGTCGGCAGGGCACGCACCGAAGTAGACGGAGTTCGCCACGAGATTTATTGTCCGGGCCGAGGACCGAGAAAAATAGGATAATGGTTGACGAAGAAAGAGCGCATAGAATTTAGCGGAGAATTCAGATATTCGTATTGTATCAAGCCAAATTTGAAATTTTTCGTCGCACCATCAAAATTCGCCACAGATCTGTGTTGCGCGCGCAATGCGTGCGGCGCTAATGGTATTAATAAATAACTCGAAATTACAATGCATTTACTCTACCATGTAACGATGGGCACAGATTTGTGCATAGCATTACGACCTATACATTTTAATACTTAACTAGGTTGGGTTCGCACCTAAGTAAAGGTCGGCGACCCTAATGGTGCAAACCAGACCTAAATTAAATACAAAAGGTGCCGCTTCTACGAGAATGATCTTGCGGAATCATGTGAATGAAGTAGACCATGAAGATCATAGCCTTTAATCGTCAAATTCGAACAAGGCCGCGCCCATCGAAAAACTGCCGCGCTACGACGCCGCGCAAGTAGTCGTGCGCGGCAATGTCACTCCCGGACGATTCTGTTGACCGCCGCCCTAGGGAGCTGTGTCCATAAATGAATGTAAAAGCATTTAAAAAGGGATTGTTGAGTGAATAAATGATTGTATGCGGAGGTTTTCGAAGAACGTCCATTCTTTTCAGTGGGCTGCAACATTTCCGGAGGACGTGAGTACATGGAATGATTCAAAGAAGTTCATTTCGAGATGCATGTACATTGCCTTCTGTCATATAATCGCTAGTCGTGGACTGCTCCCAAGCAGTAATTTCAAGAAGAGGACTCTCGACGGTAGGGTCGCAGTTATCGTATAACTTCAATTGGGTTTTGCGATTTCGCGTTTTTCTTTTTTTCAATACGCGACAGGAGGTCCGTCGCGCGGCAAGAAGGCAGAGTTTGCAGAGGAGCTGCAGGCAGTTGATGTGCGACCAGAGTCAACCGTGCGTTGCGCAGTTTCGCCCGATTAGACACGTTCTCTCGCGCGAACATTCACACTCGCATGCTCGAGCCGTCTGCGTCTCCGCCCATACAGCGTGCGTTGAGGATCTCTCAACGTGCCGTTGCGAACTGCGCAACGCAGGGTTGACTCTGGTGCGGATGTGAGGACGCTACAACAGTACATTCTATCTACTGCACGCGAAATCACACAGCAGGCACAAACGTAACGGTTGACCTGGTGGGACTCGCGCTGAAGCTGCCTTAATGGCCGCGAGGGTCGATTACCCTAGCAAATATCAGACTGGAATCGCGAACTCTGACACCTAATCAGGCAGCAATGTTCTATGGACTTGTGGAATAGCTGAAATCCTATTTTCCTCACACTAGAATCGGCTTTGCATGGGATGGCGAGAGCTAACTTGTATCTGAATGGTTTTTTAAATGACCGTTTTTGTGACACTGCGCATTACAGGTAACCTTCGTTGACCATTACGATTGGCGAATTCTGTCACGTGACTAGGGGCACGACTCGTGCAAAAAGTTCAAAGGCGTCTCAGATGCCGTTGATCAGCAGTACCTCCGAGAGCTAATGCTTGTAGTCAGCCCTACAGAACACGACGAAAATGATGCTATTGAAGTTTACTGTTGGAGGATGCGATATGATGCCGATGGTGAACCGCAAGCAGAGCTGAGACAGTGAGATGGTTTTCTTCCAAAGCAAATCGGTTTACGTAATTTTCGTCTCTTCAGGGCTGATGGTACCGTAATGCTTGCGCTTCGCTTTAAAGGAATACAGCACTTGAAAAAGCAAGTAGCAGAGTTGATGCTCAGGATAAGATCGCTATGCAAAGGACTATTAGGGCTTTACATATGACAGCATCAGCAACTTTGGGCGAATCACTTATACGGACCGTAAGTTCAATACCTATTTGACTTGTTCCATTCACTATCACTAGTGGGGAATTGAGCTCCATGCTAACAGTGTTCGTAAACTATTTCCTTTTTCAGGAACGAGGATTTTGCTCTTGTTGCCACTGTATCTGTTTCGGTTATGTTCGCACCCCGGCCGGAGTCAGATGGCTCATTCACTGATCAACTTCCTAACCTGGACCCACAGAGCTTAGCTTCTCCTCTCTTCCCTTGCTATTCCCAGTGTAGTACATTCTGTTTTGTGCATCTATATTAGTGCGATAGAAAACTGAGAAGCAGAAATTCCAATAAGAATATTTGACATTTGCGCACCAGTTGGGTGCGGTGCCTAACAGGAGTCTCAGCAACTAGAGAGGACATTGCGATTTGGAGCGCTGAACGCGTTTAAAACCATAAAAAGCGTACCCTTTTAATTCTAAACGATTAGGAATAGAACCTCAAAAGATGAGGATGAGACCTCTGGTCGTAGTCGTCGTTACTCCACGGGGATTCTTCGCTTCCCTTAGATGTACAATTAGTCTGCTGCTTGACTAGATATGTGAATTCTACTTTTCTTGTTTATCCCAGAACACGAAAACTGAACATTTAGACAGAAACAAAATGAAGAAATATGTAGGACAAAAGGCTGATAGTGTGTGTTAACTTCAATGGACTCCTCGAGGTCCAATTGGCATAAGAAGCACGAGCAGTATGCTGTAACTGCCCTCGTTACCAGATAGAGACACCTAATAGATCTCAGCATGTTCACTTTTGAATAAGTGAATGCATATGTGGAAAATCGAATCTTTCCGATGGCGTCGTTTATACTAGCAACACTTACAGGTACACCTAAAGGTTATCAGGCACCGGGATTTTATCGTTCTCCCGAAGATTTTCTTTTGAGGTCGGATGCACAAGAAATTGAAATAGGAGCAATGCAAACCAATTATCATGGGTACGCCAATTATTGCTTTTTTTGTTTAAACAACTTTCCACGTTCTTAGTGCTTGAAGTAAAAGTTTTCCAGCGCTTCTGTGGTTGTGCAGAGCGTGTACATAGACGACGCATACGCTGCAGAGTTGAGACTAAGAGAAGGCATGCAAGGTGATGTTTTAAACGATTCGTTGAACGATTCTTATGGCGATGAAGCGGGAGCTGGAGATGACGGCAACCGTTCTGATAATAACGATAATAACGATACGATGGAGCGTATTAGTGGGACAAGTGAGCGTCAGGTATAACTTGTTCAGTTAATCAAAGTTTATGAAATAAATTGTAAGAATCCCCATACATTTCGCTCTTTATAGGCGGATGCTGTCGAGGTTCCTCGTAGTGAAATTTCTACCAGAGCTGATGACAGCGGTAGCCGCTTATCAAGTCGAATTACGGAATCGGCATCAAAAAGACGAAATGACCAGTGAGTACTGACATGTGATATATATTGTATTGGTAGTTGATGGATAAGCAGGAAAGAGTTAAGTTCCTTGAGAATTGAATCCCTTGTTTATTTCGTCTTTCGTAGGTTTTTTACTTATTTAGTTAATTTATTTATTTAATTTTATTTATGCACTCAATGGTGTGCGCTACAACAGGGCAGAAGGTGTTAGTTCGTACAAGTATGTTTAGACGAAAAACAAACAAACAAACAATCGCTAACTCGTATAACAGCTGAAGAAAAAGGAAAACAAAAAAAGGAGTCGCGCTTCCAGCATCCCAGGCCTGCCGTAACAAAAAACCAAGAAGGTCAGCAGAACTAATAACTGCCATGTGTGTGAGGGGCTCAAGTAGGCAGTGACTACCTACAGATAGTTGTTTGACTTAATACTGAATGACGGCCATAGAAGTGCAGGTCAGTCTGGGCAACGCAACCAACCGAAGTTGTCCCAAAGTAGATGCCAATGCATCTGACTTACGAGCAAAAATGGAAGTAAGACCCAGACCCAAGTGATGCTCGAAGCATACTTGTTGACTGCACTTGCGAAGAATTTTTTGAAGGACTTAACTCCAAATCATAATCGCCCCTTACTTTTTGAATTAGATGGCAGTACATAGTAATGAGGCTGACCAAATGAGCAGTAGCGATAAAGAAAGTGCAATGAAGCGTGAAGCCTGGGAAGGTAGAAGACGCTCTATAATAAGCCGTATAGTACCAATTTGTTGTGCGACAGTCAGATTGTTAGTAACATTCACCGTAGCTCACAAATAAAGATATCGAAGGAGGACGATTATTCACTGGTTCTACACAGTAGGACTGCAACCCACTACTCGAAGAGCAGCAACATGCGATCCAGATAGATATATGAATGCTATATCTTCACTTAGGATGGCAATGCCTAACATCGAGCAAGTCACTCGTGGATTTTGCAGGTGTAATAGGAGATCGTGGGATCTCCAGCCACTTTGTTATCTTCCAACAGTACATCTCCTGAGGATATGCCCCCAAAGCGCACACGGCGTGTGAGAGGAACTAGAGTTCAACGCGGTCAACAGATCAGCGATCATCCAAAATCTCCAGTCATGGTTTCTGTAGTTCATTTGATGTCATGTATCGACGGTTTGCTTTGACTTTAAAGAGGGTGATGAACTTTGGCAGGTGTACTGTATGATTCCGGAGTTCCAGTTACACCAAAGGAGAGCAAAGATGACGTAAGTCGGAGCGTTGAGTACAGAGAGCTAGACTAGTTTTTTTTACATTAAGAACACTATACACTCCACACCAGCTGCAGAAGGAACACGGGTAGCTATGAAGTTATCAGAGTGAGTTTCTTCTTTTACAGTATAAAGCACGACTAATTCTTCTTACGAGAATGATGGCGACTTATGTTTCAGGTCACTCGGAGATCGCAAGAAGACTGACATTGAAATGGAGAATCTTTTATTACACGTCAGAGATTTCATTTCAGAACCAGTGTCTAGTAATCATTATTTTGTCCTGTTTGCGAGGCTATGGAAACATCGGAAAAACTCCACTGGTCTTTTTTAGCGATAGTTCTGTGAGTGTTTTTATGGATGCTTACTTTTACATGATGTTTCTAAGGTTCACACATTTTATTCTCCATGTGTTGTAAAGTGCGTCTCCTAATGATACAGCCTGCCAAGCCAACCTTTGCTTGGCTACCCTTTCCTCTCAATAAATGTCCCGGTTTTTGTCACGGTTTCTTTCCAGAAACACTGCCATTTTCACTTTCCGCTTGAGAGCGAACTTGGAAGTCTTCACTACTTACCAAGCACTATGCAGTAAAAGATTTAAGGTTTGAAAAGGCCTCTAATTACGAGCACGGCTTGATGGAATTTGGTGTTATTTTCATAATTTCCGCATAATCTTGATCAAAAAGCAAAGAGGAGCTTTCAGAGCCCTTTCCAGCTTTATTTCCTACAGCATGCAAGAAAATATTGTTCATCATTTCGTAGCTTTGCTTAACTTCCGCGCAATCTGACCACTGGCGCTTACTCATTCTTTTTGGCGTTATTTCGTTTTTTCGACATCTAACAAGCTGCTTTCCTTGTTTAGTAATATCAAAAATGATTACAAACGGAAAGCAGGGGTGGCTGGGAGGACGTAGGAGAAAGCGCATCTTCGTGTGAGAAAATGAGCAAGAAATTTTGGAAATCTTCCAACCTGAAATGTTGCAGTTTTGACTTGGTCGAATTTGCGATAAAATTTGATCACATTTTTCTCTTCAAAGTTTTTTCAAAAGCCGGAATGAGATTATTGAACAATTTAAAGGTGGCATGGCTCATGTAGGAGGCGCAGTGTATTTGATTTTCTCGATGCTTGCAGCAAAGCATGCTGCGTTTACCTTGTGTGGGATGGGATATGTTAATGTGTATTTTAGTGTTAATGTTTAATGTTTTGTTCGTTTTTAGTTAACTTGTAATTTTTGTTTACCTTGTCGTTTCATTTTGTTTATTTTCTATGATCAAGAGCTGTAAATAAATCCTGTGAGTGAGCTGCGTCAGAATATTCTGGACCAAAGATTGTATTCTACACATATTGGGTTATGGGGACAGGATTTCGTGTATTGAGCTACGAAGGACATATCTAACACATTAGCGACAGCCGTCTCGGCGTGTATCATGGCATTTTTTTTACATCTCATTATCGTCGCCACTTCTTCAACAGTTCCATTACCCGCAAAGGATATATACTTGTGGATTTGATGATGCATTTGATTATTCTAATGTAAGGGTATTGGAACATGACGAATGCCAAATAAATTGAGTAGGAACGAGTTGAAAGTGTGATGAATGGCACCTGTTGCCGTCCTTAGGCCGATGTCAGACTTTGCGAATCGCGCGATTCGCTAGCGTCCGCGGTCGCGTTGCGGTACCAGCCAATTGAGTGATTCACTGGCCGCGACGCGACCGCAGACGCTAGCGAATCGCGCGATTCGCAAAGTCTGACATCGGCCTTACTGTGTTAGGGTATTTTTGTGTCCAGCCCAGATTAAAACTCATTGGTGATGGAAGGAATTCTTATTGACGGGATCATCCACTGAAGAGAAGTCCAAAATTTCTCTCTGTTGGAGCAGAAAGATTGAGGTCGTTCAAGCAGCTTAAAGGATGCCGAAAAACACCAGGAAGAAATAAAGACCGTTTAACCGGGCCACACAACAACCAGAAGAAGTGAATTCTTACCCGAAAAGAGTTCAAACATCTTGACAAATTCCGAAGCTGACAGGAGCCGTCGACGGACATTAAGCAGTGGAAGTGTCTGAGCAAAGGTACCTGGTTTTAGGCCACTTCCCGGGGTCAAGCATGGGCCTGATTCTCAGCAATCTACAAATTTTACAAATCAATCGACTTGGAGCTATCTCATATCTCATTTTTCAGTTGGAAATTGGTGATGGACGCGGTGCTACTGTTTTCACTTGAATGTGCAAGAGAGCTGAGGTTTGCAACGTGTCAAAAAAGCACGTTTCACTATGTGCTCATCAGGAGCTTCATTATTCGATAGCAAATATTAATCAAAGTAACAGCCACCAAATTTTACCATGAGCAGGTGGGTGATTTTTCGAGCTATTCATCCCAGAAACTATGGGTTTCAGCATGGCTAAGAAATTACTTATCTTTGAACACAGCTGAAGATCGCTACCACCAGTTGGCAGTAAGGGGGTGTGGTTCGCTATGACAGAAAGCGACTTTTTTACTTTTTGCAGCGCGAAACCTTTTCGCTGCAGGAAGCTGATCATGAATTGGCATGCGCTCCTGCAGCGAAAGAAAGTTTCACGCTGCGAAAAGCGAAAAATTAGCTTTCTTATCCTAGCGAACCACACCCGCAGTAAGGCCTCGTTCATAGTTCACGACGTTGGAGACTAGGACAGTAGGCGATAGGATATTAGGATAGTGGCAAGGATATTTAGCTTTCAAAGATTAAATAAGTGTTGTTTAGGATAGTAGAAGACCAGCAGATTAGGCGACTCCGGTCGGATCGATCAATACGTATCTATGTTT